GGCGAAGTGTATGTTATGTGAATTTATCTCAATAAAGCTATTACTCAAAAAATAATGATTGAATTTAGCAGTGTGAAAATCACAGGTGACCTTGACAAAAGCAGTTTGGGTGGAATGGCGGGGACAAAAGCCTGATCGAAATGTGTTCAAGGGACAACAGAACAAGTGAAGGCAAAAAGTATAGATGTTTTCAGATTTTTGCTATATAAAGAAATAGGTTAAAGGGGAGGGAGATGGGAGGTCAGAGAGGGTATTTTGGTTTGAGTTTGGGTTTTTGTTTTTTTGTTTTTGTTTTTGAGATGCAAGAAATTATGTCTTAATGCTGATTGGAATGATACAGTAGAGGGGAAAGTCCTTGACAGAGTGAAGTCTTTGAGCAGATGAGAGGCAGGGAATCTGATATATAAGTGGAGGGGTAACTGCAAGATGAGCAAGTGGATTCACCCAAGCAGCAGGAGGGAGGGTAAAAATGCAGCCCAGACCCAGTGATTGGGTAGAGGAAATTCTCTTTTGATTGCTTCTGTCAGTGAAGTAGGAAGTAAGGTCATCAGCTGAGAGGGGGGAAACCTGTCAGGAATTAAGGACAGAAGAGAATGTAGGACTTTGTCTATGGGACTGCGGGAGATTGAAAGGACCAGATCATATGGTATGTTCGCCACCCAGCACCCTGAAGGATGGTGAGCATGACGTTAAAGTGAGACCAGTCAGCAGGGCTATATGTCTTTCTCCAGCTTCAGCCAACTGTGTGGGTGCAAGCGCCAAGTTGGATTAACCAGGGTGTGGTTTTGCCAGGTGAGTGGAATTTAACGAGAGACGAGCAAGAGATTGAGGCTGTATGCAAGGAAGTAATTATAATCATGGTCCATGGAATCTAAGCTGGTTAAGGTGGAAAGTCAGGGAGGTGAGGAAAAAAGGTGGGAGGATAATTGGATAGGAGGTTCTGGTGGGTCAAGAAACCATTGGAGCCTGGGTTGTAGAGAAAGTAAGCAAGAAAGACAGGAGGTGGTGTTAGCAGCATGGGATACTCGATATTGAAATTGTGCTGGGTAGGGGTGCAATTATTGGTGATGACAAGCTCCAGGAAATTACCTTGGCAGTGAGGGGCTGAGGCAGGGTGGAGGACGAGAACCATAGTAGTAGGGGATGAGTGACTCACCATAAGGAAGGATCATCTGTGAATAATTGAACAAACCAAGTCATTCTCAGAGGCAGGGCCCTGGGTAAGGCATGGGCTGGGGATTCAGCCAGACCCACATGTGAAGCCCCTCTCTCTAACTGTGGGACCCTACACAAATTAGTTTTTCTGAGCCTCAGTTTCCTCTCGTGCAAAGTGAGAGATCGTTTCTGTGTCCAAAAGTTATGTTCTGAAAATTGGATGAGAAACTGTTTGGAAAGTGACTAGTGTGGTTCCAGGTTCAGGGTGCTCGGTAATGGGACCTGATCCCAGAATGTTCTTGTCTGGATCCCAGAGCTGAGGAGGGGCCAATGTAGGGACCAAGACTCTCCCAAGGAAACTTTTTTCCTTCCCACCACCCCAAATCATACAAGGTGGGAATAGAATAGACTAACTCCTATTTCACTCCATTTTACAAAATAGAAAACAAGTCCAGCGAGGGAAAAGTGACTTATCTATGTCATAAGACTCAATTATCACAGAGAGTAAGTTCCCTTTTAAAATCGATTAATGTCAAAATTAAGATGGGAAATTTGTACAGAGGGAGAGAGGCTCATATATAACATTTGAAAACCAGTTGGACTCTACAGGGTGTACCATTTCCCTCCATTCACTGGGACAATTAAAAGTTGGTTTGGTGAAAATGAAAAACTCTACTGAGGACACCCCTGCTCTCTCTCATCTTCTCTCTCCTCTTCCTGCATCCCCCAGTCGCCCCCACCCCCATCACAGCAATATTCAGGTCCTATAATTGGGCAAACATTGAACCAATTTGCTTGAGAACAGAAGTGTCTGAAAGAGTGATTTTGTTAATTACTCTTCCTAGCCCAGATAGAAGGAAGGAGAGAGGAAAACATAGATCTCTATGTTTCCTTCCTTAGAGAATTTAATTCAAGTGTGTGGGGTGGGTACAAACCAGACTACCCCCATAAAGCCTTGCCCTTGTGTAGTTCCAGACCTAGCCAGTCTCCCTGGGGAAAATCCCTCATGCTTTCTAGACCCGTTTTCTCGTCTATAAAGTACAAAGAGAGTGAACAAAATGAGTGTCAAAAGACTTCCCAGCTCGGGCCATCAGGGTTCTAGGAATGCGTAGCTTAGCACCTTCTCTGCTGCCCTGACTGTTCAGGAACAAATATGGGGAGATAGGGCAGAAGCGGATCCAGTAGACACAATGGAAACGTCACCTCATTAGGAAGGCCTTCCATGATTATACCATTTAATGATGGACATGGATGTCTCCATTTCTCTCTCTCTCCTCTCTCTCTCTCTCTCTCTCTCTCTCTCTCTCTCTCTCTCTCTCTCTCTTACACACACACACACACACATTTTTGTTACAGCTCTCTTCACACTCATACAATACAAGTTGCTCTCTCCCTTGCATTTTTTTTGTTCGTTTGTTTGTTTGTTTTGCTTCTTAGCACTATCTGAAATGTCATATGTTTGTTTACTTGACTACTATCTTTCTATACTAGAATCTAGAAGGGCAGCCGTGATTATCACTTAATGATAGACATGGATCTCTCCATTTCTCTCTCTCTCCTCTCTCTCTCTCTCTCTCTCTCTCTCTCACACACACACACACACACACACACATTTTTGTTACAGCTCTCTTCACACTCATACACACACAGTTGCTCTCTCCCTTGCATTTTTTTTGTTCGTTTGTTTGTTTGTTTTGCTTCTTAGCACTATCTGAAATGTCATATGTTTGTTTACTTGACTACTATCTTTCTATACTAGAATCTAGAAGGGCAGGATCCTTGCCTATCATCTCAGAACCTAGCCCATCACCTGGTACATAGTAAGGGCTTAGTATATATGTGTTGGTCGAGGAATGAATAAATAAATAGATGGATGGATGGATGGATCTTGTGGGTGGTGCCAGAGCTGTGTCAAGCATGACTGTGATATATACCAACTCTTCCATGAGGAGCAGTTGGAAAATAGGTCTCTGGAGTCAAGAGACCTGGATTTGAGTCCCACACTGCCAATTAGTGGTTGTATAACCTTAGGCATTTCACTTGACTTCTCTAAGCCTTGGTTTCTTCATCTGTAAATTGAGAGTAATGATCTCGCATCTCTAGGCGTATTTTTAGTACGTAACGTGATCTAGTGCGCAGCAGGTATTCAATAAATGTTAGTTTTCTTGCCTCCACCAGGGCATGGAGGTCAAAGGTTTGGAGCTTCTGGGCTCAGTCGCAGGAGATTTCTTATCCATATTTTTATCTTTCAGGAGAAGATCAAATAGTGCAGAGGACTTGCCCAAAGTCACACAGACAAGGTGTGGAGTAAGCAGCAGCTCCTCTCCCTGGGGGCCAGAGGAAGCCCCAGAATCCTGACAAGCTGGAGGGAGGGGACAAGGGCAGGGTCTTGTTTGAGCTGAGCCTCTAAGAAGAGGAAGTGGCTGCTCTGGTCTGAGAGTCAGTCTTCTGGGTTCTAGTCCTAGGTTTATCAGAAGCAAGCTGGTGACCTTGGAATGTAGTTTATCTTTTCTAGGTCTTGACTTCTCCTTCTGTATATTGGGCATATTACCTCTTGCCCAGCCTGCCTTACAGAATGGTAGTGTTAAGAGACTGATATTTAATTCACTATATTGTTAGGAGCATGATATTTAAGAGAGAATATTGCAGCGATGAATCAGACAGACTCAGTTTCTGAAATTTTGCCACAAGCACATATATTTAAAATCAGAACAAAAGATTAAAAGTAACAATAACAATAAGTTGTATCCCTCTGGGCTCTGTAAAATGGAAAAGAAAAACATGTAAACATATTATTTCAATAGAACATGTGAAAATGTTTGACCAACTCTAAGTAATCAAACCAAAATTTTAAAAATATTTATCGAGTATATTCTTTGGGGCAGATGAGGAAATTAGCTTAGAGAGGTATAGTGTGACCTGCCTAATAACACACAGGACCTGAGAAGGATGAGAATATGCTGATAGGAAAGATTCCCACCAGCCACCCAGGAAGCTCCTGCCAGACGTAGCTGTAGAAGGTCCTGAGATGCTGGGTCAAGAAGACCAAACCCCCAGCTTCGGCTTCTCTCCATTCTCCAGTTGGACAAAGGTCCTGGGTCTGCGCAAGTGTAGTGGAAAGGGCATGCACTCACAGATCCTATGGCCCAGAGTCTGCACCAGAGCCCAACTTGTTCGCCGTGTAATCTTGGGGGAGTCATGTCCCCACTCTGAGCAGGTGTCCCCTCCTCTGAACGCGAACATTGAGGCTGGCGGGGGGTGGGGGGCGGTTGGCAAGAACTAATCAAAACAGTGTGTTAAAAAGTTTCTACCCCGGTTTACTCTGAGTTTGCTACTTTTCTTCGACTCTGGAAGATTGCAGGAAAGCAGGAGGAGCGCTGATTGGGGTTGAACAAGCAGCACAATCTCTCTGGGCTTCTAAAACTAGCTGATGACTAGGGCCAGGCCAGGTGCTTACTAAATTCCTTCTAGAGCCAAAAAATAGACAGAAAACAAAAACAAAAACAAAACCTGGGATTTCTTAGTGGTCTAACTCCACTACAAACTCCACTGGTCACTTCCCTCCCTCTTGCCGCTAGAGGTCGCAAGTCCCTTTAAGTCCAAGCCCTGCTCCGCTCGGGCCAATCACCGTGAGCAGAAGTTCTTTAAGGACCAAAGGAGGGAATTCAGCCCGAAAAGGAGGGCGGGGCAGGGGCGAGCCTTCCAGCCAATCGAAATCTTCCTGGAGACCAGTGACTCGCGTGCAAAGCTCTGTTGACCAATGGCAGGGGCGTCAAGAGGAGGAGCGGCTCCCGCTGTATGACAGCTGCTGGGACCAATAGGCAAGTCGCCCGCGGCCTATAAGAGTCAGCTGGGCCCGGGGCGACAGACTTTAGGGTCGGTTGGTCGTCGCTGCTGCAGGTGTGCCCTGGGTTTGCCTCTCTGGTCGCTGCCGTCCGGTCCCTGCAGCCGCGCCCCAGCCTTGGCTCCGGCCCAGCTGCTCTCCCTGCCCTCCTTCCTTTAACCACCCCCCGATTTCTGCCGTCGGGGCCCCGGGGCCGGCTTAATGATGCCGTCGGAGAGCAAAGCTGAGAGCCCGGACCGGACGGCTACGCAGGTGGGGACGGCTGCGGCCTCGGCGGTGACCACGGCCGCCCAGGCAGGCGGCGGCCCCGACCCGAAGGCCTCATCGGCCTCTCTCGGACGGCACCTGAGTGGGCTGGGCTGGCCACAGGTGAAGCGGCTGGATGCGCTCCTGAGCGAGCCGATTCCCATTCACGGGCGCGGCAATTTCCCTACGCTGAGCGTGCAGCCCCGGCAGATCGTGCAGGTGAGAGGTCGCTGGGCGGGGGGCCCGGAGTCGCTATCCTGAGGCTCTCGTGGCCGAAAGGCACCCGGAGTTTATTCAATTTGCTGGACAGCTAGGGAAAATGAGGCTCAGAGAGGGACAGGGGCTGTAACAAAATCGCACAGCATTGATAGTAGACCATACCCCTCCCCCTTTCACCTCATAGTCCTTTCCCACTTAGCTTTCCCGTCCCGGGCACCTGGGGAGCCGCGATTCCCCTGACGATTCACCCAAGCCCTGGCTTGGAGAGGGAAGGAGAATGAGGGGGGACCCAGAGGCAGAGGAAGAATAGTCCCTACCGCAAGGACAAAAAATGCCAGGCAGCCCTGAATGGGTAGGTGTGCGTGCCTGGGTCCAAAATAGTTCTTTTCATCCTCAAATATCATTCCTGGGCCTCACCACCTCACCCCTTCCCTCTCAAGGTTCTGGAGGCAGACTCTGTCCTATGTTCCCACAGCCCTTGGCTCAAGAGTCCCCCTAGCTAGGTGGAAAAGCCTAGAAATCCTGACAAGAACTGCCTCCCTCTCCAGACCAGACCTGATGCAGGTATGCTGGAAGGCAACCTCAGGTGTCCAGTTTGGGTGTTTCTCCCCTTTCCCACGATTGGAAGCAAAGGCCATCCCCCATTCCAAGCCCCATTTCTGTCCTGAGGAGCCCAGGAAGAGAATTCTGGCAAAGCCTCTCTTCTTCCTCAGATTTCCTCTTCCCTTTACCTGACCCTCAGCAACCCTCGAATTGCTCTTTCATCTGTATGCCCCAGGCACTATCATACTCTGAAACACCAAAATATGGTCATTGTTGTACCCATTTTATAGCTGGGGAAGCTAAGGTCCCAAGAGGGACAGTGAGCTGCCTAAGATTACCTAAAGAGGTGAAAATCAAACCCAGAGAATTTGGGGTCTTTCCATTAGCAGCTGCTGCAGGTTCAAAGTGTTTCCACCCCTTCCCCAGCAGCCAAGATTCAACTTCTAGGTCTTAAGGGTGTCTTCTGGTAAAACAAACAAACCAGGAAATCAGCCACAATTTCTGTGCATTTCTGCCAGCAGATGGACTTTCTTCCTGGGAGGTAGCCCCCAAGTTAGGTAAAGCAGGTCATTCCCCTGCCCCCTGCTGCCTTAGCTTCCACAGTGGGGGAGGGATGCTCACTGGGGGATTTACCTTGCCCTCCCTCCCAAAGAATGGGGGGGGGGTAGGGGCAGATACCTCAGGGCTGACTCATCTGCAGCCCAGTGGCACCTCACAGAGGCATTCCTCTGCTGCCCGCTGTCATGGGGTAATTAGGTAACCAGTTTCTCTCCAGGACAGTCAAGTCAGGTCAACCTTAGGGCCCCAACTGCTGTGCCTCCAGGACTGTTGTCCCAGGCACGGGGAGAGAGGATGGGGGAGCACAGTGTGGCAGCTCCCCTCTGCAGGCACAAGGGGCGCTCTGGAGGGTAAGTCCCTGCTCTTATCAGTATGGTCCAAACTGCCTTTACTGCTGCCTGCTCGGTGCCAAGTCCTGTTCAGGACACGAGGACACAGAATATGCCCGGGACACAGCCTCCTACCTTCCAGGTGGAGGAGACTGCAGATCAATAGGAGGTGACTCTACAATGCAATAATCATAGATAATAGTACAATGTCTTCCTAGACAAGGGTCAGAGACAAAACAGAGCTGCTGGCTCTGGTGGGGAGAGGCATCAGAGACTTCAGAGCTGGACTGGGAGGTTTTGGACATCTGACTTCAGGGTTTGGACTATCATCTTTTCTCTCTGCTGGGCTCAGTGTCCCCATCTGTTCAATGGGGATGGGTTAGACTGCTCTCCAACACCCTTTCTGGTTCTAGAATCCAAAGGGAACAGGTGCCTTCACCTGGCCTTTACAATTGCCTCCACAGGGAAGAAAGACCATCTCCTGGCAGAAATCTGAAGCTGGCAGCTTCACAGGCTGTTGGGAAATGTGTGGTGGGGGTGCCGCTTGTTGACTTGGGGCTTCTCACTAGTGCTGAGTTGCCCCACAGTATAAGAATTGGAATCTTTCTCCTTCTGTACCTCACAAGGTTTCACCTGCAGCAGCAATCTGAGCAAGTAGAAATGCTGTTCTTGTTTGAACCTAGGCTAGAGGGACCCACTCTTCTGTAGGAGGCCCCCTGCCCTCTGGGAGGCCTGGTTCTAATTATAAGCTCAGCCATTTATTGGCTGTGTGACCTTGGATAAGTCCTTTGCTCTCGCTGGGCCCAGAGGATTGAATTAGACAATCTGATCTCTCCAGGGGCAGCCAGAGGGCCTGCATTAGGCAGCTTCGAATGCAAGGTTTATAAGCATGCTGGCTAGCAGCCCCTACAGTCTCCCTGCAGGTCTCAGCAGTGGCCTGGGAGCAGAGTGTTTTTGGGAGGGCCTTGGCACAGGAGAAAAGAGGGTGCAGCCACTGCCCCCTCTATGGCTAGAAAGTCTGATTCAGGAGGTTCTGAGCTGCCCTGCAGTCGTTGGGTGTGGCAGTATCTGGGGACCGCCTGCCAAGCTGGCTATAGTCATACCTGGGAAAGAGACAACAGCCAGCCCCATAACCTGACGCAGGCGATTTAACAAGGGTACTGCTACCTACTCACCAGGCCAGATGCCATACCCTGGAGTGGGCATCAGCCTGGGAGCAGGAGCTGGCACTGAATAAGGTTTAGTCAGCTCTAATGAGACTTGGGGAAGGGGCTGGTTTGCTCTGCATGTCTGGCAAGGTCTTTGGCCCATTTCTCTCCTCGGCCTACATGGACACAGCTGCCAGGGTGTGGGTTAGAAGTCCCACAGGCTGGACCGCAGCAGCTGACCCCTTTCCTCCAGCCTCCCCTGTCTGTCTGGCCAAGGCGTCCCAAATCTTCCTGCTCCCCAACTACTCTCATCCTGGGCTTCGGTGACTAGAGGATCAGCCTCACTGTGAAATTTTGAAAGTGGGAGAGGATTAGAACCCTAGTTTCTAATCTAGGCTCCTTCTGAACCGTGGGATAGTAACGTGGTAGAAAGAGGATGAACTTTAGAGTCAGCTGTACCTGGATATGAAGGCACCTCTCCTTGACCTTGGGCAGGTTACTTCACTCCTGTGAGCCTTGGTGTCCCCATCCATCCCTTGGAGATCATAAAGGCTTAACCCCTATAGATTCTGGTAAGAAGGTCCAGTGCCTGGTACTCAATAGGTGCCTAATCAACGTTCCTTTTCCCCTCCCCCAGCTGTCCCCCCTCCCCCCATCAAGTTCCCGATGGCCAGTTGCTTACCACCCATAGCCATGACAGTACCTTCCCCTCGTCAAGATCCTCCTCCCGGAAGCCTTCCTGGAGGGAGCCGCCCGCCTCAGATTGCCCCACTGTGGCTTGCCGCCTCAGCACTTAGGTGCATTCTTTGCAGTAATTCCCTGGGAGGCAAGAAGGGCAGCCTGGCTGGTGCTGACTTGGCAGCAAGGGTTGCAGAATCACTCAGGGTAGGTAGGAATGCTGCCTGGTCACTTTCAGGATAGTGTACAAAGTACTCCGGGTTGCTGAGAAAATTGAGTGTACAGCCCAGCTCCTCTCTCCTCTCTCCTCTCCACCTCATCCTAGGCCCTGGGAGACAGGTTCTGGAATCCAAAGGAAGCAGGTGCCTTCATCTGGCCTATACAAATGCTAGAGGAGCAGGTTCAAGATGACTTGTAGGTTTACCTGTCATGTTCCTGTGTCAACCGGTGGGGTCCGCTACATCTCTTCCAACTTGGTTTGGGGGGCTTCCTGAGATCTTGACCCATCCCCTCTCCTAAGAGCAGAAAGGGTCTGGGTTTTAACTTCCAGCTCTGCCATTTCTGAATGGCTTCCCCTCTGAACCATAGATATTTTACCACTGTAAGCCTCAGTTTCTTCATCTCAAAACCGAGTATAATATTTGCCTTAGTGGGTCCTTGTAAAGATTGAGTGAGTGTCTCATAGTCGAAAGAACATAAAAGAACTTGAGAATCCAACTGATCTGAGTTCTAGTCTCCGCCTGGCCACTTTCTAACCTTGGACATGTTTCGTGACCTCTCTATGCTTCAGGTCTCCTATCTGTAAATTGGGATGGTAATATTCAAACATAGGATTATTGTAAGGAATGATGTAGTAATAAGTGTGAATTGACAATTATATTCCCAACACATTTGAGCAGTTTGCATCATGCCTGGCACAGAACTAAGTGTTTTACTTGCAGTTTTAAAGAGGTAGAATAGCCTAATGGTTAAGACATGGGCTCTAAGTTTAATTCCCAGCTCTGTATTCACCAGCTATGTGACCTTGGGCAAGTTGCCTAGCCCCTTTGAACTTCCATTTTCCCATCTGTAAAGTAGGAATGATAGTACCTACCTCACAGGGTTATTGTGAGAATTATGTGAGTTTATATCCTAATATATAAAGTGCTTAAATGAGGACCTGGCTTTTAGTAAATTCTATGCTTGTGTTTGCTATTCTTTCTGAGGTTTTCCTCCAAATGGGCCATTCTCCAAGTTAGGAAATCATGGCTTAGAGAGTTAAATGTCTTTCCAAAGGCACGACAGCTGATAAGTGTTCAACAGTGGTTGATGTCATCTGCACTGTTACAGAGAAGCCCATAATGGACCCCAGGGGCCCAGACTCCTGACACCGCTCCCTCTTGCTGTCCCATCTGCAGGTTGTCCGCAGCAGCCTGGAGGCACGGGGACTGCGCGTGCATGGCGTGCGGCTACACGGCTCAGCTGCAAGCCACGTGCTGCACCCCGATAATGGCCTGGGCTATAAGGACCTGGACCTAGTATTCTGCATGGACCTGCCCAGCGAGGCATCCTTCCAGCTGACCAAGGAGGTGGTGCTGGCCTGCCTGTTGGACTTCTTGCCAGCCGGTGTGAGCCGGGCCAAGATCACGCCACTGACACTGAAGGAGGCGTACGTGCAGAAGCTGGTGAAAGTGTGCACGGACACAGACCGCTGGAGCCTCATCTCATTGTCCAACAAGAGTGGCAAAAACATGGAGCTCAAGTTTGTGGATTCGGTCAGGCGCCAATTCGAGTTCAGTGTAGACTCCTTCCAGATCATCCTGGACTCCCTGCTGCTCTTTGGCCAGTGCTCATCCACACCCATGTCCGAGGCCTTCCACCCAACAGTGACAGGAGAGAGCCTGTACGGGGACTTTGCCGAAGCCATGGAGCACCTGCGTCACCGAGTCATCGCCACTCGCAGCCCCGAGGAGATCCGAGGTGGTGGCCTCCTCAAGTACTGCCACCTCCTGGTACGGGGCTTCCGGCCTCAGCCCAGCACTGATGTAGGCGCCCTGCAACGCTACATGTGCTCCCGCTTCTTCATTGACTTCCCAGACCTGCTAGAACAGCAGCGCACCCTAGAACGCTACCTGGAGGCCCACTTCAGCGGGGCCGACTTGGCCCGCCGCTACGCCTGCCTGGTGATGCTGCACCGTGTGGTCAATGAGAGCACCGTGTGCCTGATGAGCCACGAGCGCCGCCAGACACTGGACCTCATTGCCACAATGGCGCTCCAGGCACTGGCTGAGCAAGGCCCGGCTGCTGCGGCAGCCCTGGCCTGGCGCCCTCCAGGCCCCGACGGCGTTGTGCCTGCCACCGTCAATTACTACGTGACCCCTGTGCAGCCTCTGCTGGCCCGGGCCCACTCCTGCTATCCCACCTGGCTGCCTTGTAACTGACTCGGACCTTGGCCAGATGAGATGGGGCCTTCCTGGATGGAGTGGGGCCTCCAGGAGTGTGTGGAGGACATGACCAGAGACAGGCAGCCTGTGCCAGGTGGCCCCGCACAGATTCTCCCAAGTGAGGCCCCTATGGGCTTAGGGACAAACTGGGGTTCTTGGCAGATGGACCCTTTGCTTATTGCACCACATTTTAAACCAGCATGATTGTTGAGTACAAGAGCTATTTGTCTTGGGGGGTCAATTGCCTTCAGGAGACAAAGCATGTTTGAGGTGATAGCCTAAATGTCCATCTTGGGTTGATTTCTGTGGCCTAGAAAGAGTCTTTTTGGCTAGGGCCAGCCCACGGTGATCCCAGCAGCCTCTGAGGGCCTGCAGCCCACACAATGGCTAAATATGATATGTTATGGGAACTAGTCACTTTAGGTCAGGCTGGGCCACTAACCAGGCCTGGTAGTCCAACCTGGCTAATCACTGGGAGAGGGGAAACTGAGGCATGAGGCAGATGCCTGAGTTTGGAGAGGGATATGTTTGGCTCAGTCCCCTAATACTCCTAACCCAAGCTGTCAAGGTTTGTGGTGGGCAGGAGCCAAGTGGCCTGGGGTGGGACACAGCCCGTGACCCTTCTAGGGTGTTGCTCCCTTCCACCATGTCATGAGGAGATCTCCTGCCTGGGAGCTTGTTCTTCAGAGGGCGTGGGGCCTGAAGTGGCCACAGTCAAGTGCTCCCACCCCGCTGGCCTGGTAGCAGGGTCCTCACCTGGAGGAGAACCATGCCCCACCTCCTGTTACTATTTTGCACTTTTAACACCTGCCAATAAAGATTGTCTACACTGAGCTTAGCACCACGCTTTCTCCTGGGAGATCGACCTTCCATGGCTGTGATGGCTGTAGCTGCCTCTCGCAGCCTGAGTCTGGCTTATATTGTGGGAGGGGACAAGGGGTGGGGGTGTCTGAGTCCTGGGCTGTGGCTGGGGGAATGCCCCTCCTCTCAACACCAGCCCCAGTTTGACAATTGTGCTAGGAGCTCATATCTAAATGTGTGACTTGCACCTGCCCATTGCCTTAGCAAGTCTCTTGTTAAAGAATAAATATTTCAGTATTTCCTACCTAGAGTCCTGATGATCCTGGACTTGGCCTCATACTCTGGTGCTCGGGACTGCTTGACACCATCTCTGCCCACCCTACACTCTCCCTTCCCAGGAAGCAGGTGGAGAACAAGCGGGTGAATCTAGACTGGAGACCCCTCCAGTAGTGGCAGAGACCCCAGAAGTCCCCCAAAGCCAGAACCCGGGTTTCGCGTTCCGACCCTGGAGAGGTTCCCTCAATCCTCTGGCTCCCTCTGATGAGCACACTCCAGCTCATTCTAAGCAGATCTCCTAGAAGGGCAGGTGTCTCCTTTCCAAACCCACCTGGGGCCATGCCAGGCTGTCTGAGAGGAAATGTCAAGCACTCAGGGAGCCGTTCCCTTGTTCCCTCGAGGCATTAGCCAGTCACTGGCCTGGACGCTGCCCTGCCCGCTGTTTACTCAGCTTCTTTGATCCAGGGATTGCAAAGCCCTTAACACATTCAGCTTCACTGGTAGCCTCTGAAGTGGTGGCTTTGATGGTTTCAGCCAGGGTGGAAAAACAAGGCCACAGAGGAAGCCCCAGGTGGGTGAGTCCAGCCAACTCACCGGCTCAATAGGTCCCTGCTGGGCTCAAAATGGCTGGAAGGGTGAATGGAAAGGCTTTCTTTGCCTGATGACTGAAAATAGCCCCCTAACTTTTCTCCAACCATGTCCACCCAACTAGGGTCCTGGGAGGGACTAAGTTTGTCCCAGCTCCTGATTTGGACGTCAGGGATACTCGCAGGGTAAGCACACAGGCTTAGCTTGTTGGAGTAGGGAGCTGGCTTCACCTAGTTGTGTTTGTTTTTGAGGGTGAGAAAGCCAAGAACCCATGATACATGTGTATACCTGCATTCAGCCCAGAGTGAGCCAGCTACCATCAAGGGGTTGGGAATAAGTCAGCAAACCAAAGGCCAAGATCCCTGCCCTCATTTAGATTACATTAGAATGGAGTAGACAAGGCCACAGAGCAGACCCCAGGTCACCTGGGTAAGTCCAGTAACCTTACCTGCTCAATGGTCTTAGAAGTTCGGCAATGCTCAAAAATATACGTAGCAGGTAAGAGATTAAAATAGCTGGGGTTTACCATTTTTAAAAGAAGTCAGGGTGGACCTCATTGAAAGGATGACATTTGACTGAACAGATTTAAAAGTAGTGGGAAGCAAGCCATGCAAACGTCTGGGGAAATGTCCGGGCAAAGGGAACTTGCTCCGGGCAGGTGTGACTCTGGGAGGGCACACGCCTGTGCAGGCGCCTGTGCTCCAGTGCCAGTATGCAACCTGCATGGGCATGAGAAGCAGCAGAGAGATGGGAGTTCCCAGTAACAGCTACCATTTCTGGAGTGCTCTACTCCAGGCCAGGACAATAAGGTCTTCCCCATTATTACTCTCATTTCACCCTTGCAACAATTAGAAGAGCAAGGATTATCTCCATTTTAAAGACCAGGGAACTGATACCAGAGAGGCCAGAGAGGTTTGTCTGACTCCAGAGCCACTGCTATTAACCCCTGCACCACCCTGCCCCTACACTGATTTCCCATGACGAGTGTCAGTATGTCTCCTGTACGTATTATGTGACAAAGCATGTTTGGCATGTGATGGAGTGAGTTTATATTGCTATGACTTAGAGTGTAGCAGTGTGTCAAGATGTAAATTTTCTTGATATGCATGTGACAACAGCCATGGCTTGTGGTGATTAAGTCAGAGGCCTATGACGACAACAGGCATGCCTGTGGGTATGTTTGGTGTGTTTCCAGGTGTAAGAAAAACACTGACTCAGTGGCTGGCATTGTTCTTTTATGGACAATTCCTATAGCCATCGAAGATGCCAGGACAGGCAGAAATCAAGAACTAGGAATCAGAGCCAGAGAAGGGAAGGCTGAGGCAGGAAAGCCCCATCCCCCACTCCCAACTCCACATGGCTCTCCAAAAACCAGTCCACCCAGCCCTTACACACAGCAGGTGGGACTCCAGAGCTGGAAGGATTATTACTGCAAACGTTGAGGAAGACGATGTCTTGGCCCCTCCAGCCCCACTCTCCACCCTTTTCCCTGCTCTGTGCCCTGGGGAGGATGACATTTAAGGACTCTGCATCAATGGCTCCCTTGTTCCCTGCCTTCCTGTTGGGTTTGGCCAATGAGAGGACCCAGCAGGAAATTGGAGAATGGGATGTTTATTCCTCTGCTCCCTCCCCACTAGGTTGCCATGGTTGGCTACATCTCTCAAAGGCCACTGCTCCTGTCAAGGGCCCTCTCCCACTGCTGTACTCTCTAGGTCTCTTGCCCCTCCCCCTCCCCATCCCGCTTCCGCCAGGAGTTGTAAAGGCTTCCCACTGGCGCTAACCCCAGAGAGCTGCACCATCTCTTGCTAGTGTCTTAAGCTCACGCCTTTGGAAATAGTCCCTTCTAAATCTCTTCCCAGTTTGAGTGCTCTGTCTCCTGCTGGAACCCTGACTGACAAACAGGCCCATACAGTTACCAGCACAGTCATCATGCTGCCATGTTACCACAAACATGCACAACCTCCTTCCCTCTAGGTCACACGGTCTCGCATGTGCCTTCCCACCCCCTAGCTTCCTCATTATATCCTTAATTGGGGGAAGACTTCCTGGAGAGGGTCAGCTTTGAGCCAGGTCAAGGGAGAAATCAGTCTGCAAAACCAGTCAACAGGCCCAAGACTGCCAAACGAAACTAAACAGAATCTGCTCAAGGAACTGCCAACTTAAAGAGCTGTGACAGACACGCACAAAGAAAGCAAGGACACTTGCAAAGTAAACCTCAAAACCACGCGCATTTGTCTCACATTATTGACATTTATTCTTCCTGAATGTATGAATCAAAGGACTGACTCAATATACATTCTGCAGAATTCTACAAGTTCCAGGTTGTGTGTGAGTAAAGGTGGCCCCCTTCTCTCTATTATCAGGTGTTTGAATAAGTGTGGTTCCTTTTCTCATTTAAAACTTTGCTGAGAGTTCTTATGTGGCCACCACCTCTTTCTGAGAAATAGGTGTGTCTCCCCAGGAGCCAGAGACAATGACCTTTGTGAGGGGCCACAGGCACACAGGCGTAAGCCAAAGTCAAATGTGGCACACTCAAAGAAATTAATAATACAGGCGACTTCCCCAGAATCCAGCCCACAGGGAGAGGGCAAGGACAGTGAATGAGGGAGACAGGGATTTCTCAGACCATTTTCCCTCAAACAGGTCTTCGCCCTGTTAGACTGAGAAGCAATGGCCGCTACCAAGCTGCACCGTGACTCGTTTAACAATGATGACTATATTTTTGAAAGAAATCCTTTTCACCTTCACATTGGAAATGTTTGCTGTACTCTCAAATAATCCCATGGTGTCTCATGGACCTGTTGTAACATTTCCAATTGTACAGCGTAAGCCGAAGTCAAATGCGGCACACTCAAAGAAATTAATAATACAGGCGACTTCCCCAGAATCCAGCCCCTTGCCACTGTAAGCGAAGGGCTCCTGTGAAGTGAGGAGGGCTCAAGGTTGTTTAGGGTCCACTGGAGAAGTCTTCCTGAAGGAGGTGTCCAAGGAAGGAGCAGAATCCAGTTCAGATCCATAGAGTGGAGGCTCTGAGGAGCTGGGAGGAGCTGGAGAAAATAATTTCAAGAGCTTTAATTACCTCTTTCCCACAGCCACTCAGCCCCACCCAAATGCTTCCACGAGGACCTCTTTAAGAGGGGCCATTGTGCAGAGAAGGTGCAGGGTCAATATTGTGGAACTGGGCTCCACTGGCTCCCACCCTGGATGGGTGGGGGCTCCTGGGGTAAGCAGAGATTCCCTTGGGCCTTTGTCCTTGGCTGGGATCCTCACTGGTCTGAGCAGCTGGAATGGAATGTTCCTGGGATGAAAAGCCTACCCCTTCCTCCACCTCTCCCCTTATGGAGTTCCCCAGGGCCTGTGGTGGGGGTAGAGGGGAACCGTTCCAAGGATTCCTGATATGGTGATGCTCTGGAGAAGCAAAGGCTCACACTGCCTGGGGGCTCTGTCCGCAGATGGGGCTCTATTATATATTTACAGATCTCCCCTCTGTGCTAGGCACTTCGTGTGATTTCTCATTTAATATTCAGATGCTAGCTCCTCAAAACACACACACACACACAGAGAGAGAGAGAGGGAGAGAGAGAGAGAGAGAGAGAGAGAGAGAGAGAGAGAGAGAGAGAGAGAGAGAGAGACAGAGAGGGAGAGAGACGACATGAGAGAGACAGACAGACAGAAAGAAAGACAGCGTGAGAGAGAACTAACTATCTGGGCCAGAAGAGGC